ACTTTGGGAAGATAGTTGTGATACTTGTTAATGATTCTAAATGGTACTTTGTACTAGAATTGCATCAGTCAGTACGCCTTATTGACCTTGGACTTTATTGCCTACACTGCCCTACAGACAGAAGTTTGTGTGTAAATGCTGACAGTCTGATGGATTATTACCCAATACCCCTTTATAACATGACAGATCTTTTTGTTGTTTCCCTGCACCATTCAGTTTCTTCACGATTTTTCCCCTTATATTTCAGTGTTGGAAATTGAAGATGAAATCACATGCATCCTGCCGGAATTGGAGAGACAGAAAGTACTGTCCATTGCAGACCACCTGAAAGATGTCATTGGTGTCCAACAAAAAAGTGACCTTCTGTTAGTAGAGGCAGATGATCTCAAACATTTTCTTACACCAATTCAAATACGTACCTACTTGCAATTAAGAAAGGTTTGTAGACATTTTGTATACATCTGACTATTTATCAGCTGTAGGTCACACAGGTCACTGATTCATTTCTTTTTTACATTATGACCATCAGTTGCCAATTTCTTCTCACTATACCATTCTGGATGTTTAACTACAAAGCATTTTATTGAGGGGACTTTTACCGGCTATTGGTATGTTTTTCTGTTTTAATGGAAGCAATGAAATAAAAAAAGATAATCCAGTGCATTTTGTTTACATCTTGATCTTAATTATATCCAACTATTACACAAACAAGTGTGCAGGTGTGTGTGTGCACGCACAAGAATAAACCTTTTATTTTGGGAACCTTTATTGTATTACAGTATGTTACCGTTTACTCGTATCTTAGTAAAATATGACATGAAAAAGGTAAATTACTGCCCACAAAAACACAGTACCCTCTGACAGCGTTGACTATTTTCAGTAGCAAAAGTGTATGTTTACGGTAAATCACTGGAAAAGGTATTGCAGCATACCTTGAAATGAGCTTACGGTAACATACCATAAACATACAGCACAACACATATTTATTAATCACGGTATAATGTTGCGTTATTGATGTAATTTTCTTGTGAAATATATTACGGTATTTTACTGGCAACACTGTTGCCGGTGAGATACTGGCAACAGCGTTGCCAGTATCTCACCGCCATGCAGTCAGAGGGTTTTTACAGCAATAAAATATACGGTATAATTCTGGGATCAACACTAAGTGGTAAGTTACCGTTAACCACGCATCACGGTATCATGCTGGCAACAGTGTTGCCAGTTTATTACCGTAAAGTGGATAGGTAAAGTCTAACAGTGCAGGTGACAAAAAGGCAATAAACACATTTTTACATTTATCCACATGAGAAGATAAAAATTATATTCTTCGCACAAACTTTTGACTTCATTAAAACGTGTCAGGTGTAAATCCCTGAATGTAAAACTACTTTTCAAAGAAGAACTTCTGTGGTTGTGTGTGTAAACAGCTTCACTCTTCACCTCTAAGCTTAATAAAAACGCTTCTTTGCTCTGTTGTCCTTAAAACAAATGACAAGTTTAATTCGCCACACACACACACATACACCCACCCACACACACACACACATACACCCACCCACCCACCCACCCACACACACACGGGAATAACTGGGACCTGCGAAACAAACTCATTCTGGGTGATTTCTGCCTAAAATGTAATTTAAAAAACAAATATACAAACGAAAAATGTCTATAAACTGAACCGTTTTAAGCTTTTTAGATTTCTACGGCTAGTTTTTAACAAACTTAAGTTTAAAACTTCGTAGCTCTCCCCATTTTCTCTTTCTGTTGAAAATCCACAGCCGGCATGCAAAGCATGCTGGGCTAGCCTTGTTCTGTGAGGATACAACAGACCCGTCCTCGAAATGTGGGCGGAGCGAGGACGCGTTTGAGGATGGGAGAATGAGTATTCTTGGAATGCGGACAGTACTCGCTGCGCTGTGATGTCATCGACCGCAAAATGCACTCTTACAAGCATCCTTCCCGTGGATTCGGACACACCCTGTGTGTGTGTATTTGTTAGCAGCTCCGCCCTCTCGGTCTGCCAGGCAACAGCATTTGTTGCATTTTTCAAACATGAAGTGAGAGTGGAGTTAGACTCTGGTAGGGGGTGACTTGCTCTTTAAGAAACAGTAAAAGTATGTCAACAGAGAACACCAGAGGCCTACGGAAGAGAGAAATGCTATGAATAGTCTACAAATTGATAGTCGGCTGTGCACTGACCCTCAATTAATATCTAAAGAAATCTTTACCTTTTACAGTAATTTGTACTCCTCTTCATACTCTAGACCATTGGCTGAGACATTCTTCCAATCTATCAAACACCTGATTCCTAAAATTGATGAAAATTTTAAAAAGACCTGTGAGGGCAAAATTACCATTGAAGAGTTAGTTAGAGCTTTAAATGCTTTACCCAAAGATAAAGCACCAGGTTGTGATGGTTTGACCAGCAACTTTTACAAACATTTTTGGGTTCATATTAGAACCCTTGTGTTTGGAATGCTCACAGAAATTTTAGAAAATGGGTCTCTCACACACACTATGAAACAAGGGGTAATTACACTCATACCTAAACCAGGGAAAGATCCGACTCGTCTTGATAATTTAAGACCAATTACTCTATTAAATAATGATTATAAACTTCTAACACATATTTTTGCAAACAGGTTAAAATTGGGCATAACTCAAATTATTTCTGACACTCAGTCTGGATTTATAAAAGGTCGCTCAATCCATAATAATATCCGCCTTATATTGGACTTGATTGACTACAACTACCTAATTGAAAACCAGGGTTTTGTCCTTTTTTGGATTTTTACAAAGCCTTCGACATGATAGAACATGAATTTATGTTTCAGGCCCTTGATTAGTTCGGTTTTGGGGGTAACTTCATTAATTTAATCAAATTACTGTATAGAGATATTAACAGTTCAGTGTGTCTTCCACGCAGCACCTCACAAAGATTTAGGATTTGCAGAGGAATAAAACAAGGATGTCCAATCTCGCCATTGTTGTTTATCACAGCAACAGAAATGCTTTCCATACTGATTAAAAATGCTGAGTTTGGTAAGATATCTATCCTGGGTAAAGAGCTATCAGCCAGTTAGCCGATGATACAACTATTTTCCTAAATAACCTGAATGAAATCCCCCAAATCCTGCAGATTATTGAAACTTTCTCGAAAGCTTCAGGGTTAAAGCTGAATTTAAACAAATGTGAGATCTTACCCTTAAATGATTATACTAACACTAACACTTTTAATATTCCTGTTAAATCCAATGTCAAATATTTGGGCGTGTATATAACCAAGAATAAGAATGATTTAGATAACCTTAATATTTGGGAGAAAATTCAAACCTGTAGAACTCATTTAAATAACTGGGCTCAGAGAGACTTATCGATTCAAGGTAGAATTTTTCTTACCAGAATGGAAAGTATCTCCAGGCTAGTATACCCTGCATATGTGATAGGAGTGCCTAAATCAGCAATCAAAGCAATCAACCAGCTAAACTTTGATTTTATATGGGAACACAAAACCCACTATATTAGGCAAGGTAATTTAGTCAAACGTTTTGAAGATGGAGGTTTGCAAGCTATTGAATTTGACAGCTTAAACGGCACCCTAAAAATAAATTGGCTTAGGTCAATTTTAAGTCAAAATAGCTTTTGGTTTCACATTCCAAGCAAAATATTCTCAGATCTAGGCGAATTTAATCTCTTACTTGGATGTGACTTTAACATAAAAAAACTCCCCATAAAGCTCTCTTCCTTTCACCAGCAAGTTTTATTATACTGGAAATTAATATACAAACATAACTATTGCCCACACAACACTCCCCTATGGAACTGTCGTTACATAACAGTTGGAAACAAATCAGTCGTTATGGAAAAATGGTACGATAAGGGCATCTGGTCAGTGATGCACTTGTTAAATGATAGAGGTAAAATTTTATTAGAAGATTTTATCGCCAATTATGATCTGCAAATAAATAACAAAGAATTTCAAAAAATTACTAAGGCTATCCCTCAAAACATTCTATGTACAGCATATAATCATTTTCAAAACCCTGACTATAGATCCCCTGATCTCCCTGAACTGTTGGTAAATGGGCATAACATAACAGCTAACAGTCTAAAAAACTCCCAAATTCGGGAATTATTTACTAATGTTTTTTTCCCTTATCCAATCCAAATTCCATCTCACATCTGTTCTCTGGTGATCAAAAGAAAGAGATCAGAAAAAATTACCTAAAACTTCCCATTCCCCCCAAAGCTAAGGAGGTCCACTACAAAATCCTCTCTGGTGTTTACCCTTCCAAAGAATTTCTCAGACGTCGCTTCGCTATTGATGATAATTGTTGCTCTTTTTGTAATGGGGATATTGAATCAAAAGAACATTTATTTTATGAGTGTATATTCTGTAAAGCCCTGTGGAACGATGTGCACTACTGGCTCTTCTCTAAGATCCCAAACTTACTTGAATTTTCTAAAAATGATATTATGTTTGGTTCTCTAAGAAAAGAAAAGAAGCTTGAAAATGTTTTAAATGTAATAATTATTATGGGCAAATTCTTCATTCACAAATGTCGTTTTCTGAAAACAAAGCAGTCTTTTTTTTTTACTTTTCACAAAGAACTCTGCCTCCTTTTCTCATCTGTTAAATTTATGGACAAAAAACAAGCTCTGGATTTGAATCATATGATTGTTGAACTAGATCTGTTAGAAAGCCCCTAAGGTATAACTTTTTTTATGTTGTTTTTAATTATCTGTCTTTTTGTTCATTTGTTTGCTTATTTGTTCTGTTTGGGGTTTGCTTTTATTTTATTTATTTAATTATTTGTTGTTGTTTGTACTTCCTGTTCATTATCCTTCTTCTATTGGAATTCAGCCTGTTCTGATACTATCTCGTGTTGGTAAAACTGATTCTTTGTAGAGATTGCCATAAGTGTTGCACATTATATTTTGTGCAAAAAAAAAAAAAAAACAAAAAAAAAAACAGAGGCCTACGGAAGCTCTAGTAGGACAATTCCAATAGCGGAAGAGGCAAAGCAGTTCCTGACTGGGTTCTGCTCAGAAACGTTTGGTTAACTTTTACCACCGTTTGGTTCATTAACGTCAGTAGATCTGTAGATTTGACCGGAGTTACGTCAGCGTAACTTAACTTAACCTTTAACCCCCCAGGATGCCGAGCGCCGGCTCACACGGGCTTCTTCCTGTCATTGGAGTTGGATTATTTTAGTCACAAGTCAGAACCAGAACCATGTCCGGTGAGAGGTCAACGTGGGTTGGACTCAGACCGTGGTTCGGTTCTGTGGTGTCGGTTCTGGGTTCTGCTTTGCTCGTAACAGCTGTGGGGTTCTTCTGCGCGCTTGTTTACCCCATTCTCAAAGGTATTTGTGGCAAGCAAATGTATCACTTAGCCCCAAGCAGCGACATTTAAAATCCTTTTAAAATTGATATTTACTGAAAGAAATCGTCCTTTGCATAATTTTGGCCAGTTAGCTTACAATACAATAAGACACATTTTATCCTTTGTGAAAAGTGTATATTTAGGTATTTTTGTGATATAGACACGTGAGAAAGTATTTTTTGTGGGTTTTTTATCTCCTGAAAATGTCTATTTGTAAAGATGAGGGGTTTTCCCAGCTGTGGTGTTAACTTGAGTAAGGTGTAACTCAAGGCCATCTTATTAGAACATCCTCTGAAACCTGTAGTAAACAGCAGAACTTAATTTGTTTCGTTTTGTTGTTTATTTTCATATAAATGATTGTACTGATGTTACTTTTCTGTTTTTGGTGTTAATGTATGATTTTTCAGAGCTGCGATCAGAGAGAGTAGGAGGGCAGAATGGAGCAGGGGAGAGGATTCTGGGTAAGGCCTGATGGGTGGAACCAACCACCAGAGGGTGCTTGTTTTGTTTCAGCTTCAGTTTTGATTTGGACAGCCAAGGCAGTTTTGCTTGCTTTTAGCACCCCCTAGTGTCAGTTATTAATTCGCTGAGGTCAAACCGAAAATGAAACTTATCAGCTCACTGTGCTCATCTTTTTAACAGCTTAAATATCTCCCCAGCCTTCATTAGAGTCTACAGGAGCGATTCACCACTAAATGAAACAAGTCAGCTGTGCTCATGGTCTAAAACATGCAGGAAACGTGCACCTGTTCACCCTGTGTACTGACCATCAGAGCGGGGGTTAATCAGTGTGAGATATTGGAGGTGTGGTGTGAGAGCATGCAGAGAGGGTCAAATGCGTGAGTTGGCAGCCCTGCGTGCTGCAAGCAGACTGCAGTGCCAGGTATGTCAGCTCCCTCCAACAGGGACTGATCGCAAGTGCTGTATTCGGGCCACGGAGAGCGGTGGGGGTCTGAGTGACGTTTCCTGTAAAGGGTCATATTAGCACATACTGGCTCAAGCAAATGATTTAAAAATATGGAAAAAGTTGCAAAGTATGGCTTTAACATAAAGCTGAAACACAACAGCTCCACCCCCTGGTGGCAGACTAACCCTAACTTTAAAGTCTTCCTTCACTGACTTGTTTGCTCTGAAATAGTCGATTACACAGAGTATCACATGCATGCTGAACAAGAATATTTCTTTCAGCTCCTTGTTCCTGCATTAGCCACAAAAGACATGAGAATGGTTAAAACCGAGAAGGCCAGTCTCTCCTACCTCACAGGGAAAATTAGCATTCATGACCTCACCCATCTTGGCATGCTAACGTAAATGGCGGTGTAGATCTCTGGGCTTGGAGGGGGCAGAGAACGTGTCACCTTGTAGAACTAACCATTAGCAACTGTGCAACATGACGGAACACTTCCAGGCTTTTTATTTATGGAGATAAAACATCAAGGAAGGCAGCAAAAGAGTTGCATTGCTGTGATTTTACATGTGTTGAACTATTAAACTTTACACACACACACTCTAGCAGCATGGGTCTAACCACAGCATACATGTCTGAGTCTGAGCTGTGCACGGTGTCTCTCCAGGCTTCTGGAGTATCCTGGTGCTGGCAGCTCTAGTAGGATGCATCTGTTGCGTCTTCTCATGGACTCTGACCTACCTGGACTTGCAGCAGCCTGGTGTGAAGTTCCCACCACCACCGTCATTGGAACACTTCAGGTGAAACGGCAAACACGAGAGGCTTGCTAGCATGTTTACACATGAACTGACGTGGCGTTTGTTACCTATAGAGACGTCACGGATCATGGATTCAACGTGAGCTACGGTGTAGCGGCTCTTAACGGCGTCCTGGCCTTGCTGACTGTCATCTGGAGCCTCTCCTAAAACACCAGCCCTTAGGGAGCTTCAGAGAAGACCAGAGGACCATTATCTGGCATGTGGAGTTCAGTTATTGTTGTTCTGACCCAGCTGGGTCAGAACTTTTATCAGTGGTTATGTTTTAGACAGACTGTTGTTCCCGTGTGTCCTCCTGTCCCAGGCTCACGGTCAGGAGTGCTACCATCTCTGTAGTGTAACTGTATCAGATTCATGCTCTAAAGACAATAAAAAACATCAACATTAGTCTGAACCATAAAACTCCTGTCTTCAGCTGAAGCTCCAGACCATGAGTGAGGATCGGAGCAAAGATCCCCAACTCCTCACAAGTCATTCGCACTTACAGAAACAACAAACAACTACTGATTTAAATATATTTATTTGAAGACACACATGTAAAACTAATGAACACTTTTACATAATACAAAAATATTTGGCAAGTTGACAAAATTGTTTTTTTTTGCATAGATAAAAAATTTAGCTTTTTTCTTTGAAAGCACCTCGTTTGAACAAGTACATGTAAATACATTGGAAATAGCCTGTATTTATATGTTTATAGCACCTTCCAGGGTTCTACAACCTCCCAACGTGCTTTACAACACAACCAGTCACTGAATCTTGTACACACATTCACATGCAGGTGATGAGCTACAATGTAGCCACAGCCACCCTGAGGCATGCTGACAGAGGTGACACAGGTGTGTATATACACACACACACACACACACACACACACACTAGCGCTGCATGGTATTAGGAAAACCGGTGCTGCGCGATAACATTGATTACCAGGATAACTTGTTATACTTAACTCAAGTACAAACAAGAAATTAAAAAATGACTAAATAATAAAAAAATGGGAAAAGCAGAACGAAGCTAACTCAGCGGTTTGCTTGCCATCCAAATTAAGTGCCGTCTGCCTAGGGAAGCGTATCTAATAAGAACCAACCTGATTGGCCAAATGGGTGATGAGCTCCATTTGATTTGTCAAAAACTTCATTCTTCTGTCTGAGTGACATTATTTGTAGCAAACGTCTGAGCTGACCGTTCATTGTGTTTTTTCTGTTTATCGCAATGTGTGTATTGCACATGCCAATATCGCCATGACGATACATTTGCGATGTATTGTGCAGCCCTAATACCTACTTGTGTGTATATGTATGAGCCTGCACACACACACACACACACACACACACACACACACACACACACACACACACACACACACACACACACACACACACACACACACACACACACACCTGTTAAGGCTTTTATTAATGCAAACTCACTGAAACACACATTTTCAACACTTACACACCAAGAGATGTTTTCATCTCATTCTTCAAGGCACTCGAGGAGTACAGACACTTCTCTCTTTCGCTTCCTTATCTTTTTTTTCCCCAAGGCTCTTTGTCCCCCCATGCCTTCCTATTGGAGTCTCATGTTATGTTGTGTTGTCTGAAGTCTGTTGCATATATGTTTGAGGTGTTTTTTTGCAGAGCAAATCTGCCCTCCTGGTGGGAGGGTAACTCTGAAGTGCCTTTTTTTCCCTCTACCTGAACCAATCCTCATGTAACCCTCTCATCTCTATTAAGGTAGCGCGACTCAGGGTTGCGAATGACCACAGTCACCAATTCTTGTCATGTGTCTTGCCCATGTTAGTCTGATCTCGGAATTGTGTGTACTGAAACTAATTTCCCTCTGGGATTAATAAAGTATTGATTGGTTGATTCATCTCAAGTATCTCCAGTTAAAGGGAAATAATAAATTAAGGACGAATCTGGTAGAGCAGCAGCTGTTTTCTCCACATCTCAAAAGAATGTGGTTGTTGTTGTGAAAAAGTCAAACTTCCTGCTCCCCAAATCTTTAAACTTCAAAAGAAGCATTAAAAACAAAGCTGTAGTTCCTCAGAAGGTTTTTCACTTCAGCCGTTAAGGTTAACCTGATCATTGGCTAACTGGGTGGTCTCACATTCCATTAAACATCTGGTCATATTCTACATCTAATGTAGAGTTATGGGAATGTTCACAGTTAGTTTTTAGGTGGACCCACCTAAGCCAAATGTTGGTGAGATTAATGTGAATCCACAGATGAAAGTAGTTCCCAGCGTTCTCACTGGTTACATCAGATTTCACTCTATTAGATTAGTAAACAAAGATAAATAATAATAAAACATCTCCATTTGTAATCGACTCTTTTCCTCCAAGAGGACCAAATAACACAGCAGAACAGGAATCACCAGTTTCAGTAAACCAGAACTCATAAATTCAACATTCATCTGTCATTTATATTACAATCATCACTTCATGTGCACATCAACTAAACATATTTAACTAGATTCTTTTGGGAATGAATCAGTCAGAATTAAATGTGCTAAATCTTTAGTTTTGAGCAGCTTTAACATGAAACCAGACACATTAGTGACCAGTTTGGTTCATAAGTTAATATTTAGTATCAGAGTTTGTACACGGCCTTAACACTCGTATTTGGACAGAAAAACTCTTCCGAGTGTTTATTTGAGGCCTGATATGTGAGGGCAGGCGCCTACTTGCTTTTGAACCCGTCTCTACTTTTGAGTTCATTACAGTTGGATCCCAGAATCCTGTAGCAAAACAAGTCAGCGTAGAGCTTTTTACGCCTCTTAGGGGTACAAGAAATAACTTCTGGTTGCTCCTGCTGGCTTTGGTTCTTTATACAAGTCTGAAGCCTTTTGCCGCTGTGGGATTAGAAATGCTGACGCTGCAGCGTTAGCTCAGCACAGACTTGGCAACCTCACTGGCTCACTGATTATAAACAGTAACTACGTCCCTCTTTTGTTCTTTTGAAAGGAGAAAAACAAAAAATTCCCCAGCCAGCTGAGAAGGAAATCAGTTTCAATGTAACCTTCCTTCCAGCACGATTGAACCAATAGGATGTTTTGTGATTATTTCACAGAAAAATTCTCACATATTGCTCCTTTAAGTAAATGTTTGTTTAAATAAAATTGAATGATAGTTTAATAATGCATTCGGATCCAGACTTCTCCCTGCATCTTTTGCCCCGCCCGAATGCTCGGAGACATCAACATCCCTGAGAACCACAGACATCATGGTGTGAACAAAACATGGCTGCGCGGGGGCGGGCTGACCCAACCGAAACCGGTCCGAACCTGATGTGAAAACGCCATTAGGCAGATAGAAATGTTGACTGTTTTGATCAATTTTTAAAATGCAAGGTGAGAAATATGTGACCACTGTCTGTGAAATGCTGCATCGCTCCAGATTTAGGAAAATTCAGCTGTTTTAGTTCTTTCAGATTCATCAGCAGTTTCACGGATCACTTTTTGAGAATAGTGTGAAAAGGCGCGACACCACAGTTTATTCATAGAAAAGTCATTTTAAAGGGACTTTACAGAGTTTGAATTTATATGCTTGCGATTGCCCCCTCAGGCCAAAAGCGTAGCGGCAGCTTCAATAGTAGGCTCGTGCACGAGGCGCGCATGCTGTACGTGCACACTCCTTAACGAAAATAACAGCTGAGACAGTCGCTTGTGTGTGTGTGGCCCGGAGGACAGAGGACAGGAGAACGCGCAGCTAATTAATTAAATAATTTGGTTCCGTACCTTTCTCTTCAGCACAGCCGACAAAGGTTTATGATGGGTCAGTCCTCCTGCATGCTCAGATCATTCCCTTCCCTTGCTTGAAAAATTGTTCTAAAATGAAAGTTGAACCCACATCTTTTTTATGCCGTTCGGCGAGTCTCAAATAAAAATTTGGGCATCTTACTGTAAAAAAATATACTATGTTCACATCCAGAATCGATCCCGGGTCTTCGACACAATAGCCCGAAATCTTACAAGGTGAGCTAAATCGCCAGTAGCGTCTTCTGTATCTGTAACATTTATATCCTTGATGACAGCTGAAACAACTTTCAAAGAACGGTTCGGAGGGCTATGCCTGAGCGTGAACGCGCACGAAGCAGCCTGCACGACCCAAGCAGCTCTCTTCTTGTGATTTTACAGAAAAACAGGCAATCACAGTAAAAATGCCAGGGCTCATTCTACAGGACCAGGGCATTGCAGAAGAATGTATGAAGAAGAAATGTATTATTTCTATTCATGTTTTGACTGACAAACTTCCATAATGCCCCTTTAAGGAACTTACTAGAAAAATAGCATTTTTAGAGATGCAAGTTTTTTGCTGAACAACAGTGATCGGTAGATCTGCTGTAGCCGAACGATCCTGAACTGGTCTGGATCACTGGTGCAGCCCACCAGACTAGTGGCTGGGGGAATACCGCAACTTAATTCAACGATAACGCAATGCATGTAAGCAGCCAAAACATCAGATACTAGTAGAGATGCTAAATGAACACTGGTAGCTGATTTAGAGGCTGCTAGCTATACAACTGACTGAATCTTCACTTGTGTTAACATACAGGCTAACATTAGCATAGCAGCTACTACAGGAAAGTATATAAGTAACAGCTTAAAAACATTAGAATTGTTCATGATACGCTTGTTGGTTGTTATGTGGAAAGCTTTTTAGAGAATAAATACTGTAGAGTTGAAGTGCTATTGTTGCTAATAATGTAGCTTGTAAACCTGATAAACTACCACCATGGTACTGGCTTCCTAGGCTGAGTGATAGCCAGCCAGTGGTCTAAGGAAGAGCAGATTTCCCTTTGATAGGGCTACGATTGTAACAGGGAAACCTATCGACACCCGAGGTTACCTGGTCTCATCCTCTCCAAGTGTTTCTACATGTTGTACCCTTCACATCGAACGAGTCACATCATTGTTCGAAGAAGAGCTGGACTCTGCTTGGACGTCATCCAGGCCTTCCTCCTTTGAACCCCTCATAGAGGCCAGTCTGTAGAGTCCAGCAAGGAGGAAGATGACAGAAATCATAGCAAAGTAGCCTCCATAGATGAGAAACTGGAGGAAAAAACAAGTTGTCAAGTTACCAGGGAGGCTGATTCCATATAACTCTTATGGGGGCTGCACCGTCTTACCTGGGTGGTAACGTTCAAGTTTAGGCCTGAAGAGTCCACAACGATCACGGTCAGCAAGGTCTGCAGTAAGAGAGCCCCAAAAGTGTTCACCCCAAACACCAGGGCGTAGCGCTGCATGCTGAGACTGGCTGCTATCTGGTACCTGAGGTCAGGGAGCAATCCTGTTGTTGTGTGTAAAACGATTCAAAGGGACACAACGATGCCACCCGAGCCACAGTCGGATGTGTTTATTCTGTTCACGTCATTGACTCAGCAGGTGGAGACTGTGTACTCACGTGACCACGGTGATGAGCAGCATGTAGGTGGCTCTGAAGAGGACATAGGAGCTGTAGCACACCCAGATGTTCTTCAGCAGGTCCATGACAAACACACACACGGCCATGAGCATGGAGAGGACACACAGAGCCAGCTCCCCCCACCGAGACCAGGACACAGGCAGGTAGCCCACCAGCAGGGCTGCTAGAGCGCCTGCAGACCAACAGAATGACCACATTTAAACCTTGTAGTGACCTGACTTAATCAATTACTCAGCTGTGGTAACAGGAAACATCAACAAAAGTAACGTCACACCTCCCCAACTGAGCCGTTTGCTTTGATGCATTTTGAGGGGGATTTTGCGTGGGCCGCAAATGAATCCCGCTTTAATCGCGCCACCCTTTCACGGGTCTTATGGCAGTTTATGCCCATCTCGCTCAAACAACACCTGATTCGTTTTTAGTCTCCGACCAGTCAAAGCTTAATCTTGGTTTATGCTTCTCCGTCTGCGGAGGTGCGGAAACTCGCAGCACCTTTACGCGCCGCTGCTACGGCTCTCTGATCGGCATACAAGGATGGACGGCGTAGAGCCCAAAATTTTAACTATCCATCAAACACAAGAGAGCACACATCCGTCTACCAACGGTGCCGTCTACCTCGTTCGTTCTTTCCAACAAAAGTTTTTGTTACAAGCCATCGTCCACAACTAGCCTAACTCTTTCACAGATGTTACGTCTCAGGGTTGACTTGTATTTCTATTTGTGCGTGGGCGTGATATTCAGCCACTCTTTGAACTGCCTGCACACTGCAGGAGCTAATTAGCCATCACCGTTAACCTAGACTCTGATTCTGGCAAAACCAAACTTTATGCAGCTCAAGGGAGACTCAGTTTACTCACAATCCATGTCCATGAAGCTTATGTACGCTTCAGGTTAAGACTCTTGCCAGCTGTTCCTTTTATGCTGAGGAGACAACTGACTTTACCTGTAGCCTAGGATGGAGGAAACACTTATATCAATACCTCGGGATGGCAATTACAACCAGCATCTCACCTTTGCTCGGTTACCGACAGGAGGAGACCCCACTCGTGAATCCTTTTTTCGTTCCACGAATCCGAGGAACTAGGTTTTATTTCACACAGATGAAAAAGAATAATAATCCAAACGAAACCCAGACAAGGCGGGTTAAAAAGTAAAACAACTCTTTGCCAATAAACCAAGTTATAGCAAAGTTGAGCTGAATAAGCTCTCCAAAAATGACACTAGGTCAGATCATCACAGACAAAAAGCTCAAAGCAAAAGCTTCCTCCTTTCCATCTCTGTACCCCACAAACTCTTCCCATCAAAAGGCCATCCTTCCAGAACCAGTATCTCCTTTTTATTTACTCTGTCCCCCTCCTTCTTGTCTGCTGTACGTCTCCATGGCAACTCTTCCCGCTTCATGAAGCACTTTGTCCGGTCCACTTGTAACTCCTCCCAACGTTTCTTGCCGACTCATCTTGGTGTTCTTCAGGCATTCCCTCATTTCTTTCTTGTAGTCATCAGTCAGCAGGGGGAGGCGTACCCCCCTTCCTTGTCTCCTCCACTCCAGGGGTCTGCTATAAGCCAATCATAAACATCTCCTAGACGCAGTGTCTCCCCTGAAACTTATTGCATCCTGGACTAACCCCACCGAGGTCAGTAAAAGGCTAAAGCTACAACATATATTTACCAAAAACAGCAGAGTAGTGAAGCACATCCATTATTTATGACATTAGGGGATCAGGAGTCACACACACACACACACACACACACACACACACACACACACACACACACACACACACACACACACACACACACACACACACACACACACACACACACACACACACACACACACACACACACACACACACACACACACACACACACACACACACACACACACACACACACACACACACACACACCTTGTAGAGCCTAGAATTGATTTCACATAATGAGAGACATAATCCAGACTTAATTCCATACATTAACAAGTCTGATTATACTCCATACAACAGTTTTGTTCCTCGACATCGAAGCACTTTCAGCTCAGTGAAAACTGTCTCTCTTTCAGCGATTGCTCCTTGAGCAGATTGGTGTTTACAAACTTGTTTTCGGAACTTTATTTACCAAAATAGGAACAATGATAAATTCTGCTATGAAATATTCAATATGTGTTCAAAATGTGTGCAATACTGGATATTAGAGGTGCTGAAAAAATTATTCAAGTCTGAATCAGGATTCTTATTTATAACGATTCAGAATCGATTCCAAGAACTCAAATGTTTGGCATGTTACAGGTTTGAGATGCACTTTTGTCTGTTTTTTATCTTTGTTAGGAGAGTTAGTACTCCGCTTACTTTTGTGGTCCCATCAATTGAGATGACTTATCTTTGAATCTGCTGATAAGCGGGCAGCTGAATGTAATTTTGTCCATACTCAGAAATGTGAGATATTCTCACATTTATTTTCTACGTTGATAAGCGAGTACTCAGGATTACTCATGTATTTATTTTAAAGGGACTATAAGGAAGTTTGACAGCCAGAACATGTATAGAAATAATAAATGTCTTCTTCATACATTCTCCTGCAATGCCCTGGTCCTGTAGAATGAGCCCTGGTATTTTTACTGTGATTGCCTGTTTTTCTGTAAAATCACAGAAAAAGAGAGATGCTCGGGTCGAGCAGGCTGCTTCATGCGCGTTCACGCTCAGGCATCGCCCGTAGCATTTGCTATCTGTAGTTTTAGTCTTTGTCGCTGTTACTAACACCTAGTGACAAAGCTAGCTACATTTCTGAGGACCCTTAGCTACTTTCTGTGGGACTTTCTTCTAGATATTTCCTGCAAATTAGCAACAAAATAGCCATTTTTGCTCCGAACCGTTCTTTGAACGTTGTTTCAGGTGTTATCAAGGATATAAATGTTACAGATAGAAAGGATGTCACTAGTGCTATAGCTCACCCAGTAAGACGTCAGACTCTCGTGCAGGAGACCTGGGTTGGATTCTGGATGTGAACATAGTTTATTTAGAGTTTCTTTTTTACATTAATGGTTTATTTTTTTACAGTGAGACGCCCAGATTTTTATTTGAGACTCACCGAACGGCATTGAATTCACAGATAAAAAAGATGTGGGTTCAACTTTCATTTTGGAACAATTTTTCAAGCAAGGGAAGGGAATGATCTGAGCATGCAGGAGGACTGACCCATCATAAACCTTTGTTGGCTGTGCTGAAGAGAAAGGTACAGAACCAAATTATTTAATTAATTAGCTGCGTGTTCTCCTGTCCTCTGGGTCACTCTCTCTCTCTCTCACACACACACACACACACACACACACACACACACACACACACGTCTCAGTTGTTATTTTCGTTAAGGAGTGTGCACGTACAGCATGCGCGCCTCGTGCACGAGCCTACTATTGAAGCTGCCGTTACGCTTTTGGCCTGAGGGGGCAATCGCGAGCATAAAAATTCAAAAGTCCGTAAAGTCCCTTTATGTAATTGATAAATGAGAGAACACATTTTCTTTGTAGGAAATCTGAGGCACTTTTTTAAGCAGGTTGAGGACTCAAATGTTAAACTTGTTTCTACATATACTTGAAAAGTATTTGACCATAATACTTTCAAAGCTACTGTTAGGTAACGAAAGATTTGTTATATTTTACAAGGTAAGCAAAAATAAAATGTTGCCTTTTGGTCAAAAGATTGCTTCTGTTTACAGTTTAAGAATCACTTTATTTTACCTGTAAATTAGCTTTTTTTGAGCATGACCAGTTTAAAGTAAAATAAAAATTTCCCATAGATTTAACTAACTTCTACAACAAAGTAGTTCATCCTGGAACTGACACTCTTTGTTAATAAATATTGATTGTGAATCGATTTAAATCGAGAATCGATTCTGAATCGAATTGGCACCCCGAGAATCAGACTCAAATTAAATGGCGAGTTGCTCTAAGATTCACATTCCTACCGGATACACATTAGTATGTCTGTGTCCTTTATGCTGCATAGTTCTGGAAACACAAGTTTCCTTTCATTACTTAGGTTACAATCATAGCTCACTGCCTTTGTGTGTTTACCTGTAATCTTATTGTCTTTCTTCTTCCTGTTCTCCAAGTGTTTGTGCTGCTGTAGCAAGTGAATTTCTTCACTGTGGGATTAATAAAATCTTCTATTGTCAACACGTTAATCTAAAAGTTACATTTTATTTCACACCTCTTTCAGCGTTTACAAGCTTAAGTTAATAAAGTAATGACCAGAGAAGTCACAGCAATGGTAGGCAGACCTGCCAGAAAAGGTATACGCCCCCTGCTGTCCTGGCATGGAATTGCTTCGCAACACTGACACCAGCGAAGAAGTATAAAAGGATAAAGTCTCCATCAACACGTACGTGTGACTACAAACTTGCTGACCTAGAAGTATAAACTAGGCTATAGCTTCTCTTCAGTCTCCACCTGCCCCCACAGTTGTCTAGCCCTAACCCTGAGACTAATCCTAGATACGAGTTTCAGATATATGCAACCACTCTCTGACTACATGGTGAAAACTTGTCTTGCCAAGGCCCTGCAAGGAAATCAAAAACCCTTAAGACTTTTCTAGCATTATTTAGAAAACTCCTTCAGGAACACAATTTGGTTTGTTGCCAAAAGACTCGAGACTTCTACCGTAAATAAGACTCACCGAGCAGCGTGGACAGTGTCTCTACGTAGCCGTTGTAGACCGAGTCGTCAGGTGATGAACGAACAGTCTCCCACAGCGGTTGAGCATAGTTGATGATCTGGAAGTAGCCACATGTAGCCAAGGCCCACCACACCGACCAGGTCAGCAAAGGGCGACTTTTATAGCACTGCACAAGGTCTTTTAGCAGCATCTTCAACACCTCCAGAAGACCACCATTCTGAGCTCCTGCCCCGGAGGATCGGGATAGCTGGAAGAAAATCACTCAACATTTTCATCTAAAGTTCTCCAGTTTTACAACCAACACAAAACTGCTCGTTACTACCATAGACACTTGGCTCTGCAAGTCTTCCACCTTGTCTATTTGGGAGCTGCAGCTCCTTCTGGATGGACTATCCTCCGTTGCTCTTGGATTCTTGTGGAAAAACAAACTCCTTTTGGGCATTGGAAGAAACCAGGGGGCACTAAAGGCCAACGTGGCCGATACCAGCGTAATGATGACAAGGTACAGCAGCTCAACACCAGCCATGGAGAACAAGAGCTGACCAATCAGAGACCCGGCAGCTGAGCCGAACAGTGCAACGCTGCGGCAGTAGGCCGTCACTCTCTTGTAGTTTTCTGGTTCCACCACGCTGTAGATATAAGAGTAGTAGGCCACCTCTGTTGCTGTGGCAAGTCCATAGAAAAACTCCAGGAGCTGCATGGCCAAGACACCCCGTGCCTTCCAGAGCATGACATAAGTAACCACCAGGCTGGTGGCCTGCAGCACCAACACAGGCTTGTAGCAGAGGTAGTCTGTGGCCAGGAAGACCGGGAACAGAAGCAGCAGGTAGGAATATGTCCAGATGGGAAAGATCTCATTGACCACCTGCAGATAACACCATAACACTGACATTATTAGGAGACTGCTACTTGATAGTTTGAACTAAAAGACGTTGCAACCTGCAATCACAAGTTATTTATTTATTTATTACACCACCAAAACAATTAAATTCATAAACCGTGGACAAATATATGCGATGCATTGTCGCCCATTTCTAAATTACGATCCATTTATTTGCGACATCAGACTGTGTCTGTTCTAGTTTATGTCACTCATAGTTTATGTTCCCTGTGGTCTCCTTCTCAAGAGTTCAGTCTCAGATGCTATAGGTCTTGCAGGCTAAAGGTCAGCAAATGAAACGCAATTAAAGGCACACGTGGCTAAACTGTAATGCTATTTTTTGCATCTGCTTCTGTCAGTAAAGGGGCAGGGCAGCTGTGGCTACATTGTAGCTCATCACCATCAGTGTGTAAAGAAGTGTGTGAATGGATGAATGATTCACTGTAGTTTAAAGCACTTTGGAGTCCTCGGACTCAGAAAGGTGCTACACAAGTGAGGGTCATTTATCATTTACATCACATGAACCCTGCATGAAATAAAACTTGATTTTATGTGTCTAATCTGTGTGGTTGAGATTTAGGAGAGTATTAGTTAAAGACTGAGTGCGGCATTAGTGCGATCTCAGAGTGGGATTGAATCATTTACAGGATTAACCAGGAAGCATTTTTTATGAGATTAGTACTGAGAACACCTACCCTTGTTTGGCTGAGAGCTACGAAGCGCTAAGCGCTACCAGGTTTGACCTTTGAACTAGAAGAGATCAGAGTTTAATTAACACCCTGCATGATAAATGTATTTTAAGTTTTTTTAAAACAAAACTGTAGTTTTTAAATCAATATTAAACGTGGAATTTGGAACATTTTAATAAAAAGCTGTATTAAAAAAACACCTGTATGGGGGTTTAGACATGTGCAGAATGAAAGTACTGTTTCTCCTATAAAAGCTGTATTAAAAAAAATAAAAATTTACTTTGACAGACACAACACAGGGCTTTTGTTTACATCTACCAGCCAGTAAGGGGCGCTGTTGTGGTAAAAATCAGCTCGGCACAGCGAAGCTGGGGTCAAGCAGCTCATTCTGAGCCCAGATGATGGTCTAACGGTAAATGCTGTTGTAAAATAAACGTTTTAGTAGAAATAAGTCCTTACCCTGTACAATTCATCCCTGGACATGGTGCTGGCTGGTCACGTCACGTGTCAGTAGTCAACCTCCCTGACGACAGGAAAATGTGAGGTAGTTGCACTACCGCCTCTAAACACCAGATGTCGCTATAGTGTCCGTGTTCCATATTTTACACTTGTGATTAACAAAGATGGCAGCAGAATTTTTTGTTTTGTTATTTATAGTTTTTTGACTTCTTGTGCTATTTGGAGAAAAGGCCTATGGGCACCTTACATGGTTCCTGGGGGCACCATGGTGGTAAAAATGGATGTTATGAGGGAACCCAACTCCCTCTGCAATCGTTAACCAACTAAACCCAAACATCTATGACACCACACAGCTGTCAAGTAACATAACTCATTCATTACAAACCACCTAAATAGTTCAGACTCTGCTAGGAGGAAATTGGGGTTTGACTTGTTGTGAAATCCTTCCGATTTAGAGCTTTCTCTCCGCTTCCTGAGTGAGCATCCACTCGCTCACAACACCTGCTTCATATCCAAACCGAGCTGCGAGAGCTTCTCACCTGTGTTTCTGTCAGGTTCTGGTCCGGACCCGTCAGGTAGAGGGTCAGGAACGGTTCTGACGGTCTCGTGCTGGAGAAGAACCCGTAAACACAAAGCAATATAGTGGGATAAAGAGTAGCCATGTCAGACAGGGAACGACCTCCAAGCTCCGCGCTGCGGCTTCTTCTTCTGTGGTTTTGTTGAAGCAGCTGGTTAACAGCGTCCTCACGTGGTCTCACCCAGAAAACTACGGAGCGTCTAACGCTGCCAAATCAAATCAACTTTATTTATAAAGCGCTTTCACATGGCCAAAATGGACAAACAAAGCGCTGTACACCAATAAAAAGCACCACAATATGACAGACATATAACCATTTAAAATACAATGAGCAATCCATTAGAAATACAATAAGAAATCCATTAGAAATACAATAAGAAATCCGTTTAAAATACAATAAGAAATCCATTTAAAATACAATACGAAATCCTGAGTGGAAGTTCGCAATCCATATCCAGCCTACTTCCCCCAACTTCAATGTCCAAACGCCAGCAAGAACAGATGTTTTTAGTCTGCTTTTAAAGGTTTCCAATGATTTGGCCTGCTTTACATCAGCTGGCAGCTCATTCCAGAGACTTGGTCCAAGTACTGAAAAGGCACGACTCCTACGAGACTTCAGGCTGTACCTGGGCACAGTTAGTAGTCTCTGGTCAGCTGACCTAAGGGAACGCACCGGGACATGTTGGTGGATGATTTCAGCAAGATATTTAGGTGCCCCTGAGTTTAACGCCTTAAACACAAACAGGATGACCTTAAACCTGATGCGATAGAAGACAGGGAGCCAATGCAAGGCACGTAGGTTAGGTGTAATATGTTCAGACCTCCTGGTAGATGTTAACAACCGAGCAGCCGAGTTCTGAACCGCCTGGAGGCGTGCTATTGGAGCTTGCCTAAGCCCCGCATATAGCGAGTTGCAATAATCCAGCCTGCAGGTAACAAAGGCATGGATTACAGTTTCCAAATGACTATGTGACAGAAACGGCTTAATTTTCGCTATGCGGCATGGATGAAAAAAGCAAGATCTCACGATTCTGTTCACTTGAGCATCAAATCTGAGCTCTGCGTCCAGTTTTACCCCTAAGTTAGTGACCACCGCCTTCTGATGCAGTGCCAGAGTGGAAAAATCAAGCCCTTGGGCACCTCCTAGGGTCTTTGGTGGCGTAAACAGAATTACTTCAGTCTTGTGTTCGTTAAAACACAAGAAGTTCTGAGCCAACCATAGCTTGATGTCCTCCAGGCAACCCAACAGAGGTTGAATGGTGCATAAACCACCACGCCTAATTGGAAAAATGACCTGGCAATCGTCCGCACATAGATGGAATGACACGCCATGTTTACGGAATAGTTCACCCAGGGGTAGGAGATATAAGGAGAAAAATAGTGGGACCAAAATCGATCCCTGGGGGACTCCCCAAGCCAGCTCAGCCAGATCGGAGGAACAGTCCCCCAACCTCACACAAAAACTCCTCCCAGTCAAGTAAGATCTTATCCACTTAAGTGCCTGGCCCGTAATGCCCACAGACCGCTCCAGCCGGTTTATTGGGATGCTCTGATCAACGGTATCAAAGGCTGATGTCAAGTCCAAGAGCACCAGAACCACAGCATCACCGGAATCATTAGACCTGTAAAATGTCATCAAGGACCTTAAGCAGTGCAGATTCAGTGCTATGAAAGGGTTGAAACCCAGATTGAAATACTTCTCCAATTTCCCATTCCTGTAGAAAAGACATCAGTTGGATAAACACAGCCTTCTCTATGATCTTTGAGATGAAAGGAAGTGTTGATACAGGTCTGTAATTGGACAAGATTGTTGGGTCCAATCCTGATTTCTTAAGCAGAGGTCGTACCACCGCCTGCTTTAGGGGAGTAGGGACTTCCCCAGACATCAAGCTGCTATTTACAATTTGCAGTACGTGATCACCCACTACAGAAAAAACTTCTGTCAGTAGCCTTGCCGGGAGAACATCAGTTACCACCCCTGCTGGCTTAAGTCTCATGACCAGATCCTCAAGCTCTGCAAGAGTTAATGGTTGAAAACCCTCCAGTGCCTTTGGAACACAGAGATCTGCAGAGGGGGCATGCTTAAGTGGTGGAATAGAGGCCCTTGTCACCCTTACCTTGTCCACAAAGAAGTCCAAAAAATTGTTACATGACTCGGTGGTGTACTCAATCGCAAGGGGCTCATTGACATTTAAAATAGAGTCCACTGTCTTAAAAAGTAGATATTTTTCTACGTTTTGGCCTGTCATCCACACGAAAACGGAGTTTTTTCACACGAAAACGGATCTTTTTAAAAACTCCGGCCAAAGTGAAGATCTGCGTTTTCTCCGTTTTGGGTGTCTGCGTGTGGACAGACAAAACCGGAGTTTTAAGGTCCGCAACGTCACTTTCCGCGACAAAAAAATGCTGACATCACGTGTGCGACCTGTGTTTACACTAGCCGACAGCATGGATGCCTTCAGAGCTGCGCTCGCTTTATCAATTGTCCGAGCGCTTTCTGCTTGTTTGTTTTTGCAAGCGGAATTACTGCTCCTTGCGGAAGACCACAGACGAAGGACGAGGTTAAGAACGGGGGAAGTACTGCCGCCTACAGGTCTGGCATGTCCTTAACAACGTTTTTATCTGGGTACGTGTGGACAGTTTTTTTTAAAACGAGGTAGTGCGGATGCAAGTTTTTGGAGGGGAGGATATTCGTTTTAAAAAAAACCCGGCTACGTGTGGACTAGGCCTAAGGTGTTAAAAAGAAGAACGCACAGCGAGGAGATATTCGCTGCTACAAATGGACACTAGGGGGTGATAAAAGCAAGCATAACTGCTTAGTAAGATGAAACTAAACTAAGCAAATGAGACCATAGCCCTGACATCAAAAACATCATAAAGGAAGCTCCTCGTACACCCTGACCGTGTAACTAAGGAAACCCAACTGGACACGAGCAGGGAGCTCCACTGCATTGAAAGTAATCAGCAGTGGAGTGGACCTACGTGCGTTAAACCCCAGACGCCGAACAGCCCCCACGGAGTCAAACACCTCCAAGTCAGAAACCTCGTTTGAATTGCCGTACACCACACCCACAACCATACCATAAACAAGGTCTTACGTTGTGACTGAATAAGTGTTCAGATAGGATTCCCCAAGTTTGTTCTTACTTTAGGCCCAAACCATTAGTGTAAGTTGCATCCAATTTAGTTTTTAGAGTTTTTGAGGGACGATTTGCAACGTTTTCATGTGCTGGTTTGTTTAAATTAGTGATGAATCTCTCTTGTAGACAACTAGGAACACTGGGAGACACTTCTACTGGTAGATTAAGATGTTAAAAAGAATGCACAGCTTGGAGATAGTTTTGCTTCTACAAATGGACACTAGGGGGTGATAAAAGCAAGCATAACTGCCTACTATCCCTTTAATACAAGTTAGCGCTGATAAAAGGTGTGCTATTAGTTATACTCAGGTCTAGTGGGACCAACCTGATCCTTCCTAATCCATAACATTACAGAATTTCACTCAATATTTGAATGCTGTAAACATTATTTCCCTGTTCCTCTTTATCTGGGGCCCTGACCCTGAAAGCCACTTATTGTTCTGCACTAGAAGTTTTGAGCTCTTTATAATTGTTATTCACCGGAGGATTTTAGCCCTTCTTTATTCTCCTTCCGGATGTTAAAGTGGCTCAAACGGCACCCCCACTAATTATACATCAATAGGAGCGGCTCGGCCGAATCTTCTACTTATTATCAAGTGAAGAGAGCCGAGTAGTTGATTTTGTCAAGGAAGTGCCTCCTTGAACCACGGAGTACAAAAAAATAAAATAAAATAAAATAAAAATAAAAAACTGCAGCACAAGTTTTCACAGGAAACAGATTTTTTCTGTCTCCTTGTGCTGCATGGGGTTTTCTCTGGGAGCTCCAGTTCACCCCAACACTAAAATCACGACACGTTACCAATGAATCTGCTGAGCTGTCAGCAATTAAACAGCATTACCACAAGAAATGCAGTTTATCCTGTTTATATTTTTAGTTTGGCATTCCCGTCCCCTTTTTCTTTTGGGAGTAACGCAGTGCTTCTCAACCCCGGTCCACTGTCCTGCATGTTTTCTATGTTGCCGTTTCCAACAGCGTCGTTTCTCTGCTGCCACACACCCGACTTAAATGAACGAGAGATTTTCAGGCTTCTCCAGCACTTGATGTCATCCTAAGGAGGCAATTCATATATGTGAACCAGGTGTGCTGTAGCAGAGACATGAAAAACATGCAGGACGGGGAGGGGGGACACTGAGGACCATGGTTGAGGTCCTGCATGGTTCTCTCCGTCTGCCAAAGGGCTGTCGAGATTTAGGTAATTAGAGGTTTCTTTTACACAACTCTTCCCTCTCACAATCAGTTATTATTTAATTTAGTTCCAGTTCCCATTTCTACTCAGACCTGTAGGTTTTCAGGGCTCGTTTATCAGCATTTAGTTTAAATAATGTTGTTTTCTGCTCTGCCTTATACCCTGAGTCACACGTATATTGTGCATCAAAGCGGTGCAGGGGTTCTGCTGTCCTCCAGGCCTCATTTTGGTTTCAACCCCTTTGAGTAAATGAGTTTTAACTTTTATAGTTTTAACTCTGAATGATCCAGAGTGATCGTTTTAAATGTTAACTTAGTGATGCAATTTTATTGACTTTGGTTTTAAAACGCCTTCTGTTCCGGTAAAACTTTTAACATAAGTTTTAACCAGCTGTTTTTAATGTTGGTAATTGCTTTGCTCCAGCAGCACCTCCCATTCGTGTATTTTTAATTACAAAGCTAGATGGGATGTCCGGATGGACCTCAGAATCTTTTTGTCAGCACGTCTCTAGCCAGGCCTCTGCACAGAGAAAGGGTCTGGTAACTCACAGGCAGAGAGGCACTTGAGGGGCGGGACTAGCCAGCTCAAAAATAACCAATTAGAAAAAAGACGGAAATGCCGACTGTAACGCACGACACTGTAGTTTTTTTTTTTAGCTGTCTGGCGGCAGCACAAACATCTTTTGTTAGGATAAAGGCTTTTAGAGCTTCTACTTGTGGTTTTAAAGACATGTCATGACTTTCAAATGAGGACATAGCAATGCAGTTACTTTCAAAGTAAACAACACTGGAGAAAAGAACACTAGTCAGGTTCTTTCAAAGGTGACAGTAGAGAAACAAACTAGATATTATTTATAGAAGGGAGTGCACAAAGAGAGGGGAGGGAGGAGGTTTTGACCCTAGGTTTGTATTGGGAGGGGCATCAAGTGGGGTGTTCTCCTTAACAACCAATGAGAGAACGTGGATGTGGTTTGAGAAGAAAAGACCACTGAAAAGTATCGGGGCAGGGCTACTTATTTCTCTCTGCACTCAGTTCAGCGCAAAGTCTGATTCATAGCTGCAAGGCTTTAGTTCTGACTCAGGTCTGACTGTGGGACTGGAACAGGTCTGACTGTGGGACTGGAACAGGTCTGACTGTGGGACTGGAACAGGTCTGACTGTGGACTAGAACAGGTCTGACTGTGGGACTAGAACAGGTCTGACTGTAGACTAGAACAGGTCTGACTGTGGGACTGGAACAGGTCTGACTGTAGGACTGGAACAGGTCTGACTGTGGGACTAGAACAGGTCTGACTGTGGGACTAGAACAGATCTGACTGTAGACTAGAACAGGTCTGACTGTGGACTAGAACAGGTCTGACTGTAGGACTGGAACAGGTCTGACTGTAGACTAGAACAGGTCTGACTGTGGGACTGGAACAGGTCTGACTGTGGGACTGGAACAGGTCTGACTGTGGACTAGAACAGGTCTGACTGTAGGACTGGAACAGGTCTGACTGTAGACTAGAACAGGTCTGACTGTGGGACTGGAACAGGTCTGACTGTGGGACTGGAACAGGTCTGACTGTGGACTAGAACAGGTCTGACTGTAGGACTGGAACAGGTCTGACTGTGGGACTGGAACAGGTCTGACTGTGGACTAGAACAGGTCTGACTGTGGGACTGGAACAGGTCTGACTGTGGGACTAGAACAGATCTGACTGTGGACTAGAACAGGTCTGACTGTGGGACTGGAACAGGTCTGACTGTGGGACTAGAACAGATCTGACTGTTGGAGTAGAACAGGTCTGACTGTGGGACTGGAACAGGTCTGACTGTGGGACTGGAACAGGTCTGACTGTGGGACTGGAACAGGTCTGACTGTGGACTAGAACAGGTCTGACTGTGGGACTGGAACAGGTCTGACTGTGGGACTAGAACAGATCTGACTGTGGACTAGAACAGGTCTGACTGTGGGACTAGAACAGGTCTGACTGTGGGACTGGAACAGGTCTGACTGTGGGACTAGAACAGATCTGACTGTTGGAGTAGAGCAGGTCTGACTGGGACTAAAGCAGGTGCGACTGTGGGACTGGAACAGGTCTGACTGTTGGACTAGAGCAGGTGCGACTGTGGGACTGAGACCTGCACATGGACTCAGCAGGACTGCCCAGCCTACCTCTCGTCTCGGTTTTGTCTCTGTTAGCATGTAGCCTCCAGCTGCTAGCTGCTGGAATTCTTACTCGCAGGTATGGTGGACGGAGTTCCCCAATGGACAAGTGGATTTTGCTGTGGCTCTTTTATGATGTCATTGTCCATGTGACTCTAGTAAGAGAACTATTTCTTCTTTGCCACGTTGCTTTAAAGCTGGGGAGTCAGACTCATTTTCACTCAGCCTTGTGGTTGCTCTCAAAGGGCCAGTTGTAACTGGAAGACTTTAAATGCCATCATGTGTGATAAGTAACAGTCTCTGGATTTCATTCATTTATTCAACTAACAAATTCTATACATTGTGTTATAATAGAAATCCTCCACATTTATCAGGTTAACCACCTCACTTTGGTTGCATATTAGTGCAAGGACAAAACGTGAGAAAATAAGACCGAGTTGGTCTGACATTTAGGAAAGTGTACAAGATTGTCTTGTTTCTGCTGAACGAGATGATCGGTTGTTTCACACACAGCCACGCAGCACAGTTAGATCCCACAGCTCAGGCATTTATCACTTCATGGATATTTATTGTTTAAAAAATCACATAAAAATAGGCTAATGCAGCCAATGTGGTGGGATGCTGGAGACTTGACAAGATACCGTTACTTCAGCGGACACAAAATTAAAATGCATCATGGGAGTAGTAGTTTACGGTCTAAATACACTGTAAAGTATTACTTGTGCATTTCTTTTGGGCATTTACATTACTTTTATGTGCTGACAGGTAGGGTGACCAGATCCCAACTTGCCAAATGTGGGACGACATGAAGTTCCAATGAGAAAAAAAAAAACGTATATTCTGCCTTTTAGCCCTAACGTCACTGTTACATATACCGTAAATCCTCTAATACAGGCCCGGGCCTGTATTTGACTCAAGCTCATCAAGCTCCAGGCCTTTATTGGAAGGAGGACCAGAATTAGAGGCAGGCCTCAATTTCTATTTGAGCAAAATGAACTAATGGTTCGCTGGAGTTTTTGACAATTAAAATTGCGCCCACATTTTCAAAGTTAAACACATTTCTTTTAACAACGGTAGTTTCTGCTTCAGCCCTCCCCCCCTCCCCCTGCGCAGCGGCCGCAAACTCACTGATGCGCCTGCAGCCTCTCAGAGTTCCTGCTGCTCTAAACATTAAAATAATTCTTTCATTTTCAGTTCCTCACTTCTGATTACCTTCAATGGTGTCTGTTTGTTGCAACCAGCAGGTACAAAAACTAACTTGTTTTTATTTGACTATTTTTCTGTCCTGTCTGTTTATTATCTTCCTGCATCTCCTCACCTCATGAGTAACCTTTGAACTGCAGTTCTAAAAGATCTACCGACCGCAAAAACAGCGGAGTGGTCGCCGGCCACATCAGTTAGGTGCGTCACCGAGGACAAAACAGGTGATGCGCCCCGATCCACAGCAGCGAAACACATCAGTCACAAATAAAAGAATAAAAGACAGAAAACATAAAAGGAAATGAGCCGACATGAACGATCGCGTGTTAAATTAGTTTTTGAGGTGGTGACACCTGATTTGATAACGTTACTGTGGCCGTGCTCAGGACGCAGATGTCTGGAGCGCGTCAACAATCAGAGCTTTGCATGCGCAAGCTGGTTAAGGTTAGGATGGGGGTGAGGGGAATGTTAAATTGCAAGAGGGTGAATGTCACAATTTGCTTAAATGTCCGTTTTACGGTGGGTGTCAGTACCGACGCTCTGGCACAGCGCCTTGCCTCCCGACGTGCAGGAGCTTGTCACCTGCTGACAGCAGGCTGCTGTCTTTTCCGAGGACTGCATCTTGCCGGTCATTATCACGTGACAGCGACTAGTGGATGACAGGCATAAAAAGTCATTATAGAGCGGTGAAGTCGACTAGTGACTAGTTCATACAACCCCTGCTACTGCTCCCCAGTTTTCTGCAGCATAATCAGCACGTTCTCTTAGAACTTGATATCAAATTTTCGCCTCCTCTTCGTCTCTGTATGGTTAAAGTTACCCTCGCAGTCTATCACTGGCAAATCAAAAGTGAGACGGATGACACAACCGCCCCCCGTACTTGCTTGTTAACACATTCCACCCGGCCACAATAAAAAACTGGCCATTATTCACCTCCGCCGACTCCGACACCGGCCAAAATATGATACCCGGCAGTTAATTAAATACAGGCTAATATTAGAGGATTTACGGTAATATGGTGTTTTATTAACAAATTACAATTGTAAAGAAAACATTTAGGTGTTAACAAGCAAGAATTTATTAACAAAACTGCTGATGTCTTTCCAAAACGTGTGTGAAAGCCGAGTAGATTTGCAGTAATGTGACGTCATTGGCAGTCGAAGGACCCCGAGCCGATCCTGCACCCGAGCAGATCCTGTACCGACACCGGATCCGCATTAAAGTCCCGCCTCCGTTTCATTGACAGCAACAGGCAGATATCTCCACAGTTTCTTCTGTAAGATTGAAACTCGAAACGGAAAACTGTCAATAACGCGGTACATGAGTCTCAATTTGCGGGACTTGTGAAAAGTAATGAAAATACGGGACTGACCCACACAAAGCGGAACATCTGGTCACCCTACCGACAGGCCTTGAAATGACATGATGAGCCAGTCGGCCTATGGGCCTTGAAGTTAGCAAACATAAGAAAGGCAGAAGTGTTAACTCTTTTCAAACTCACATTTATTGTTTTAAAGCTTCTACTGTACTTTCTAAAAACATATGTTTACACGTGTAATTGTTTTCTTTAGGAGGGACCTTTTGTTTACATGTCTCTCGTTGGGACAGTAGAAACGTCTGAAGGTCCTCTGGCAGAGTTATGTGAGTTCTTCACCATGTTTTCATGCTTTGTATTTCATTTCAAGTTGACTGTTTTAACCATAACTAGGAAGGTTTGGGGGGATTCAGTTTGATAGGGAGGAGGAGGCAACAGAAAAGTAACACTTAGTTTGGTTTGCACTTTTAGATAAGGATCAAACACCTGGTCAGTGTCAGGCAGTTACAATAGGGAGCCTAAGTCCTATCCGGACCATGGCTCCCCGGAAGAAGTCAACGGGGCTAAAAACGCTGTTTTCTAATTCCACTTGCTGCTCACAATGACTCTGCAACAATCCAGTCATTGTAGTGGAGGTGCCTCGGTGCAGTACTCTGCAGAGGTAGTTCCCATTGTTTCTGGAAGGGCATCAGAGTTCTAACTAGAGAGGGATCGCACTCCTCAGCCTCCCTGGAAAAGTTTACTCTAAAGTACCGGAGAGAAGGGTCTGGTCAATAGTTTAGTCAACGGAATAGATTTAAGAGGAGCAACGTGGTTTCATCCCTGATGTGGGGTCAAATCCGGGGCCATGGTCCTTGTATGGAAAAGGCTGGACTGCCAACTCCGGGTTCGGGGAAGAGGTCCTGCCACATGTGGATTAGCTTCAGCATCTAGAGACTTGTTCATACGTGAGGTTGTAGCGGGGGATTGGCTGGCAGTACCTCCTTTGGGGAAGATGGAGCTGAGCCAGGTGACAATGTTTTCCATGCACCTGTTGCGCTTCATTGCAACCCTCTCCTGTGGTCATATTCTTGTGACTAGAACAAGATTACAAATACAAGTGTCTGAAATGAGTTAGCGCCACAGAGTGGTCTTAGAGAGGAGCTCAGGCACCCAAGACCTGGAGTGGAGCTGCTGCTCCTTCACATTGAAAGGAACCAGCTGAGATGGTTCGGACATTTGGTCAGGAAGCATTGTAGCATCAGGTAAGGAGAGGAGTTTGGGCATGTCCTTCTGACTGGAGGCCCCCGGGAAGGTCCGGCAGGCCACACTAGAAAGATTACATCTCATGTAGCACCCTAATAGTTTTGATGATTGTTTGATTCTGTTGGTTTCTAAATAATTAAACGCGTGCTAGCCGTTTCCTCCCGTCCCTCTCTCACCTGTCTCCACAGGGAAGGAGTACAGTAAAGCAGACAGCCGCTGGCTAGTTTCTGATCCAACCATCGTCTCCGTGGAGATTCTGACCGTCGTCCTCGACTCTCTCCTCGCTCTGCTACTGATACATGCAATACTCAACAAAAAGTACTACAGGTAAGGCTGGCCAAATACTGCAGCAGTACTACCAGATAACACAAGATGAAACTTCCAAATTAGTACTGTTATGCAAACAAAAAAACTACAGATGATCAAAATACTACTGATAGAACTAGGAAATACCGCTAAAGTTTTGATCAAAAGGCTACAAATAATACCGCCAAAACATTAGTATTACTACCAGAATATAACAGGTAATACTATCAAAATATTAAAGGCCACGAGATACTTACTAGACTCTCTCTCTCTCTCTCTCTCTCTCTCTCTCTCTCTCTCTCTCTCTCTCTCTCTCTCTCTCTCTCTCTCTCTCTCTCTCTCTCTCTCTCTCTCTCTCTGTCTCACTCACACACTCACTCACACACAGTCAGTTTAAGGTGCAAAAATGTAAAAGTAAAATGTAAACATGGTAATAAGACTAGTCTAAACTAGAAACTGAATTATTAAGAGAACATAATCTCTACTCCTACTTGAGTACAGTCTCTAGTTACTCTACCACTTCCAGTTTCTTGACTGAATAAAGATCCAGCATGTTTGAACCAGAAACACGTTTACATTCTGGTTTAAACCTGCTGAGGGTGAATCTACACTCAGAGGTACTCTGGTCTGTAACATGTGTACATGACCTACTGAAGGACTGGTCTCTATGGTTTTGTTCTGAATAAGTTTTTTTAAACACGTTTTTGTCTTCATTTGTTTTTTTTTTAATCATTTTTATTTCACTTTTTAAACCACAAAAAGTTTCAGATAACTCCAAATTTGTAAATATCTGATATAATACTAACACAGTTAAATCAGCTGTTATGATTAAACAGTTACTCAGTACTTTAATTCTTACCAAATACTTTTAACCCGAGTGTTTTTAAATAACTAATTTAAATACTCTAATAGTTAATATTATTCAGGGGCAGCGGTAGCTCAGGAGGTAGAGCGGGTTGTCCAGTAATTGGAAGGTTGCAGGTTCGATCCCGGCTCCGACCACAGAACGCTGCTGCTGTGTCCTTGATCAAGACATTTAACTCGGCTTGTGGTGGTCGGAGGAACCGGTGGCACCTCGCCTCTGTCAGAGCGCCCCAGGACAGCTGTGCCTACATCATAACTCATCCCCACCAGTGTGTGAATGTGTGTGTGAATGGGTGAATGACTGATTGTGTTGTGAAGTGCCTTGGGGGGTTGTAACACCCTAAGAAGGTGCTATACAAGTACAGGCCATTTACCATTTATTAAGTACTGTTGTAATATTAAGTACTGTGACTCACTAGAGTACTGTTGTAATATTAAGTACTGTGACTCACTGGAGTACTGTTGTAATATTAAGTACTGTGACTCACTAGAGTACTGTTGTAATATTAAGTACTGTGACTCACTAGAGTACTGTTGCAATATTAAGTACTGTGACTCACTAGAGTACTGTTGTAATATTAAGTACTGTGACTCACTAGAGTACTGTTGTAATATTAAGTACTGTGACTCACTAGAGTACTGTTGTAATATTAAGTACTGTGACTCACTGGAGTACCATGTCTGGCGGCCAGTACCCTGTTGACTCGTACTGAAACACGTGTCCATGTGACAGACACTTCCTGCAGGTTGCTCTGAGCGTGTGCGAGTTGTACGGCGGCTGGATGACCTTCTGTCCTGAATGGCTGACGGGCAGTCCTCACCTGAACACCTCCAGCTGGCTCCACCTGTGGCTCTACCTGGCCTTCTTTAATGGGCTCTGGGTGTTGGTTCCAGTGCTGTTGCTGCTCCAGTCTTGGCTATCTCTTAAGAGTCTTACCCCCCCTCCTACCAGCAGAAAGAAGCTGTAGACGTGGATGAAGCTGCAGGTGGTAACTCTCTGTCTGCATGTTAAACTGCTCCATGTTCATGTCGGGGTGAAGAAGTCAAATCACAAACTGATTTCAAGTGAAATTTAATCATCACCATCAGAAGTGTCCATCATCACAGCCTGTGTTTAAATCCAATTTTATAAATAAAATCTGGTGAACAAAACATTCCTATTGTCCAGTCCTGCAGACCTGCCCCAGATCCTCCTCTTCCCCCTTTCAGCTCTTCTTGATCATCTTGCTGACGGACATGAAGGCCTGCTGTAGACCTAGTCCCTTCAGACCACTGCAGGCCTGGATCTCCCACTCTCTGTCTGGGGAGTAACTGGGAAGGTCCAGCTGGGTGGACACCTGAAGGGTGGACACAGAGAAGAAGATGACACTAGGAAGGGTGGGGGTCGGGGTAGGCGTTCATATAATTCATATAACATCTGCAAAACAAACATCTTGTTCCAAAAATACTTACGTTAAAAAAAATCTGTTTCACAATAACTGAACCAAAATACTTCAAGTGTCACTTTTCACATGACTCCTGGGGTCTTCATTGCTTAATTCACTCATTTGAAAGCAGACATGGATGAATTATCAAGTAAACTGTTTAATACACATTATTGTTGATAGTTAAGACATGCTGTCATTCTCTCTGCTCTACTGCTCCATCAAACCTTTGTCATGGCCTCAGACAAGAATCTTGTGTCTGTTCTAGTCTTGTCCGATCTCAGTGCTGCTTTTGACACCGCTGATCACAATGTTCTTGTAGAAAGGCTTGAACATGTTGTAGGGATCAAAGGAACAGCGCTAGGCTGGTTTAAATCCTACCTGTCTGACAGATTTAATTTTGTTAATGTACATGACAAATCATCTTCATAGTCCAGGGTTACTTGTGTAGTACCACAGGGTTCGGTGCTTGGACCAATTCTTTTTACTATACATATTGTGGTGGCCCTGACACTGATTGGCCGGCAAGGCCGCATTGCACTCTGGGGGGACGGTAAATTGGGGTTGTTTAATCAGTTTGTGGTGTTCTGAGGTTTATTTTGTTCGGGGTTATATTAGTGTTGTTTGTTTCAGTTTGGAGTTCACACTGTGTTGTTCTTATCCGGTGCCTGTTGGCACCGTGAGTTAATTGTATGTGAGGGGGGATGAAAAGGGGAGCCATCCGGCGATTAAAAATATTCTATGTCTGCTACCTGTTGACTCTTCTTTGCTGCTTCACACACACCCCGCTAGAGGGCGGCGCAGACCGGCGCAGACCGCTACATTATGCTTCCAATTGGTAAAATCGTTAGACAGCATGAGATAAACTTCCACTATGCTGACGATACTCATTTATATCTATCCATTAACCCTGATGAACCTAATCAGTTAGTTAGATTACAGGCTTGTCTTGAAGACATAAAAAATTGGATGACTCTAAACTTTTTGCTTTTAAATCAAGACAAGACGGAAATTCTCATTTT